TTACATGGAATTTCTTTTGCATGCATAGTATCCTCTTCATTCCCAAACCTGCTTGATAAACTGTATACAGAAAAAGTAAACACTCACTACTTACTTGAGCGTGAAGATAAATACTAGATTGTTATATACATCCTTCTGAGGTATACACAGTCCTCCTGCTCTAAATTGTTTCCCCTCAGATCATTCCCTTTTGCCCTGATTTGAAGCCTTCACACTGTGAAAACTATGGCTCCCTATCTTTGCCATTGTGAAAAAAAACCCCTTATGCTAGATAGCAATTTTTGAAAGATTTCAAATCTCTGAAGGAAAGCAAATTTGGCTCTACTAAACTCTAGTTGGCTCTGCTAAACTCTACAACATGGCTGCCACTTTACAGAATGCTACACACACATCTTTGGATTCTGGCATTCATTAATGCATGTATTTTCAGCAAAGATTATTTGCTATTCCAAGTTCAAAAGAAATTCATTTATGAGTAAATTTTCCCTCATGGCCTAGTAAAAGTGTCACGGAAATAAGACTTTAACATTTTCAGTCTATGAATTCAATTTCTTTTCTGCCTCTTTCTACTTAAGAAAACTTACAGTTAAGAGACGATGGGTGTATTTTATTTTATTTATTGTTATATTTTATTTTATTTTTACTGTTAAAATACAATTTTGTCCTGACTTAAACAATGTAAATATTCTAAACCAAGGAGAAAACATTTGAAGCAAGTTTGAACAGATTATTTTCATTACTGTATGAATGAAAATGAGGAGCCTTATTGAAACACTCCAGTGAAACCCGACTAAGACAAAATTTATGTACAGGTACCAACAAATCTGCTTGTTATTTCAAAACACCAGCATCAAATAATTTATATACAGAACTACTTCTAACAGTCCATCACAGAACAAGTCTAATCTGCTACTAAAGGATGATCAATCTAAAAGATGAAATATGTCCTGAGGAGTGCTATTTAGCAGACTGCCATTTTGGTAACACATTGTCAAGAAAATGCCTGAAAAAAATAGTCAGGCTTATTTGACTTATTATCTAGCCAGCTACTGTCTAGGTAAGGTAAACTTAGAGTAATTATGAACAAACACGAATCAATTTTCTTATACAATTGGAGTCTAGGGGTCAGTTATGATGAAATTACACTGCACAAGTGCCATCAAAAAAGACCCACTGCTTCTAAAGAAATATTCATACGGTGGTTTACTTTTGAATGGAAGAATTTATAACTGCATCATTGTGAAGAACAGTCGAAATTTATGGCAGAGGGAATAGGTGCAGCACAGCCTTCCCCAGCCTGATGCCCTTCACATGTTTTGGATTACAGCTCCTATCAGCTGCAGCAGCATGCCCAGTGGTCAGGAATTATGGGAGTTTTAGTTCAAAATATTTGAAAGACAGCAGGTTGGGGAAGACTGGTTCAGTGGAAAACAAATTGATGTCTACTATGAGAGAAAATATTTAAAATAATATTGAGAGTGGTGCAGGACACAACGTTTTGACTTTTCATTATATTTTCACTTACTTTATTCCAAGAAAAAGAACTTCTCCACCTCTCCTATTTTACCCTCACAAGAATCATGGGTATGATGGGTTGAGAAAGTATAACAGGCCCAAGGCTACCCACTGGGTTTTATACTTCATTTGAGCCAAAGTCTCCTAGATCCTAATCTAACACTCTATTCATTATACCACACTGATTTCCCTTATACAGACAAGCAGCACTAAAAATGGAATTTGACCTAAGAATTTTGCAGTGCCTCCTTTTGAAGTTCTTATCTCTACAATCCAATAAAGCAGTTTTCATAGAGAAAATTACACAATCTAAAAAGACTGTGTATTTTTCAGTGTGTATGTGTACACACTTGTAGCAATTTCATCTTGCTTCAAATACTTCCTCCCTAGACTGTATATTCTTGCATCTTTAAGTATGGAATTCTAGACTCACAGCATATATTTAAAATTCACGTAACCAGATGCAGAAAGACTGGATCTTATTTTGACAATGTATTAGGAATTGGCCTTCAGAGGAGTGAAAAGTAAAGAACAGACACAACATTTCCCAGAAAATGGAATGCAACCAATTGCTCCTGAAGAATGTAACCACCACAGAGAACTGTGAGAAGATATATTGTCCTTCAGATATATTCAAACTCCAAGATAATGCACTTGGTTAGTGATTTCAAGCACAAATATAAAATGCATGAGATACTTGATGGTGCAGTGAGGTAGAAAGGTCTTATCAGCAATAGTTTTTGATAGCACTATCACAGATGAGCAGGAATTACTTAAGCACAACTCTCAGCTTTCTTAACTCACCTTGCATGGGAAGTTGTGACTTTGAGACTCACTGACATTCAAATGGCCCTTTACATACCTTTACACGGGTTTGCTTGGTACTTGGCTGTGTGTGTGTGCGTGTGATACTTCAAACAACACACACACTCTTAATCATTGACTGTGTCAGGAGAGGGGTGCTGGCTAAAGCTGCCTTTTCCTTGATTTTCCATGAAGAGCAACACCAGAAGGACAGTGCACTCACCAGGTCTCTATTGCCTCTTTACACTTTCACCTGCTTGCTTCCCGAAATGCCTTGACCTGGCCTGCTTTGGCTCCCTTCCCTCCTGTTGCTGTGGCAATGAATGGCATTGCCCCGCTGAACACTCCCCAGTCTCCGCTCTCCGTTTGTGCTGGCTCGCCTGCCAGCGACCGCTTTGCCCGCTCCCCTCCAACCACACGTGTGTCTCAGTTTTCTCTCCTCTCTTCTGTCCTCCTCGCTCAGCCCCTCTCTCCACCTTTATCCGCCCTCCTGCACCATTCCACCCAACCCAGCTGTTCCTGCCTCTGCTCACAATCCTGTACAGCTGTGCGCCCACACGCGTCTCCTGGCTGTTGTCTTCTTGCGAGTTGCTTTCCCAGACAGATTCCCAGCCTTGCCTGGTAATATTCAGCCCTGCTCCGTGCAAGGCCCAGGAAAAGGGGTGAGCCCCTCCTGCATCCTCACAATCATACATGACAAAGTTCAGAAACAGAGAGACAGAATTGAGAGCCAGTATGATATAGTGGATAATATGTTGAGCGAGATTCAAATCCCTATTCATTCATGAAGCTCAGTCCACTTGGTACTTCAGCAGCTCTGCAAGGGGCCATTCCTGAAGAATGTTCAGAAGCTTAAATTGGTAGACAATGTAGCATTGAAGCTGATCACAGCAATAGAACCATATTACACCTGTCCTGAAGGCCTGCCCTGGTAACCAGATTATTTCTGGAGTTGGTTACTATGGGACTGCTTGTCTTATTATCAACCACTTGGTTATTTGAGGACACCATTATCTTTAGAGGCCTGTCCATTGTTGTTGTTGTTAGTTGCGAAGTCATGTCCGACCCATCACGACCCCATGGAAAACATTCCTCCAGGCCTTCCTGTCTTCCACTCAACTGCTTCAGTGACTCCATCTAGCCACCTCATTCTCTGCCACCCCCTTTTTTTTTGCCCTCTATTGTTCGCAGCATTAGGCTCTTCTCCAGGGAGTCCTTCCTTCTCATTAGGTGGCCAAAGTATTTGAGTTTCATCTTCAGTATCTGGCCTTCTAAAGAGCAGTCAGGGTTGATCTTCTCTAGGACTGACCAGTTTGATCTCCTTGCAGTCCAAGGGACTCACAGGAGTCTCCTCCAGCACCACAATTCAAAGGCCTCAGTCCTTCAGACTCAGCCTTCCTTATGGTCCAGCTTTCACAGCCATACAATGCAACTGGGAAAACCACAGCCTTGACTATACGCATTTTTGTTGGCAGGGTAATGTCTCTGCTTTTTAGTATGCTGTCTAGATTTGCCATAGCTTTCCTACCCAGGAGAAAGCGTCTTTTAATTTCTTGGCTGCAGTCCCTGTCTGCGGAGATCTTGGAGCCCAGGAAAACAAAATCTGTCACTACCTCCATTTCTTCCCCATCTATTTGCCAGGAAGTGAGAGAACCAGATGCCATGATCTTAGTTTTCTTAATGTTGAGTTTCAAGCCAACATTTGCACTCTCTTCCTTTACTTGCATCAAGAGGCTGTTTAGTTCCTCTTCACTTTCTGCCATGAGAGTGGTATCATCTGCATATCTGAGGTTGTTGATATTTCTCCTGGCAATCTTAATTCCAACTTCTGATTCATCTATCCCCCCTTTCTCATGATGTAATCCCCATATAAGTTAAATAGGCAGGGAGACAGTATACAGCCTTGCCAAACTACTTTCTCAATGCTGAACCAATCAGTGGTTCCGTGTCCAGTTCTCACTGTTGCTTCTTGACCCACATACATGTTTCTCAAGAGACAAATAAGATGGTCTGGTACTCCCATCTCTTTAAGAACTTGCCACAATTTGTTGTGATCCACACAATCAAAAGCTTTAGCATAGTCAATGAAGCAGAAGTAGATGTTTTTCTGGAACTCCCTAGCTTTCTCCATGATCCAGCCAATGTTGGCAATTTGATCTCTAGTTCCACTCCTTCTTCGAAACCCTGCCTGTATTCTGGTAGTTCTCAGTCCACATACTGCTGGAGCCTTGCTTGTAGGATTTTGAGCATCACTTTTCCAGCATGTGAACTGAGTACAATGGCGCAGTAGTTTGAACATTCTTTGACATTGCCCTTCTTTGGGATTGGAATGTAAACTGACCTTTTCCAATCCTGTGACCACTGTTGAGTTTTCAAATTTGCTGGCATATTGAGTATAGCACTTTTACTGCATCCTCTTTTAAGATTTTGAATAGCTCAGCTGGAACACTGTCACCTCCACTAGCTTTTTTGTTGCTCAAACTTCCTAAGGCCCATTTGACTTCACATTCCAGGATGTCTGGCTTGAGGTCAGTGACCACCCCATCGTGGTTATCAGGGATGTTAAGCTCTTTCTTGTATAGTTCTTCTGTGTAATCTTGCCACCTCTTTTTAATCTCCTGCCTCTGTTAGGTCCCTGCCATTTTGGTCCTTTATCATACCATCTTTGCATGAAATGTTCCCTTCATATCTCCAATTTTCTTGAAGAGATCTCTGGTCCTCCCTATTCTATTGTTTTCTTCTATTTCTTTGCTCTGTTCATTTAAGAAGACATTCTTATCTCTTCTAGCTATTCTCTGGAATTCTGCATTCAATTGGGTGTATCTTTCTCTTTCTCCCTTGCCTTTTGTTTCCCTTCTTTCCTCAGCTATTTGTAAAGCTTCCTCAGACAGCCACTTTGCTTTCTTGCATTTCTTTTTCATTGGGATGGTTTTGGTTGCTACCTCTTGTACAATGTTGCGAACCTCTGTCCATAGTTCTTCAGGCACTCTCTATCAGATCTAATTTCTTAAATCTATTTGTCACCTCCACTGCATATTCATCAGGGATATGATTTAGGTCATACCTGAGTGGCCTAGTGCTTTTCCCTACTTTCTTCAATTTAAGCCTAGATTTTGTGACAAGAAGTTCATGATCTGAGCCACAGTCAGCTCCTGGTCTAGCTTTTACTGACTGCATAGATCTTCTCCATCTTTGGCTGCAGAGCACATAGTCAGTCTGATTTCTATGTTGACTGTCTGGTGATGTCCATGTGTAGAGTCGTCTCTTGGGTTGTTGGAAAAGAGTGTTTGCTATGACCATCGTATTCTCTTGACAAAATTCTACCAGCCTGTGCCCTGCTTCATTTTGTACTCCAAGGCCAAACTTGCCTGTTATTCCGGTTATCTTTTGGCTTCCTACTTTAGCATTCCAATCCCCCATGATGATAAGGACATCATTTTTGGGTGTTAATTCTAGAAGGTGTTGTAGGCCTTCATAGAACCGGTCAACTTCAGCCTCTTCAGCACCAGTGGTTGGGGCATAGACTTGGACTACTGTGATGTTGAATGGTTTTCCTTGGATTCGAACTGAGATCGGTCTGTCATTTTGGAGATTGTATCCCAGTACTGCTTTTCCTACTCTTTTATTAACTGTGAGGGCTACTCGATGTCCATTTTAGTTCACTGATTCCTAAGATGTAGATGTTCAGTCTTTTCATTTACTGTTTGACCACATCCAGCTTGCCTTGATTCATGGATCTTACATTGCAGGTTCCTATGGAGTATAGATCTTTGCAGCAACGGACTCTCCTTTCACCACCAGATACATCTGCAACTGAGTGTCCTTTCGGCTTTGACCTGGTCGCTTCATTCTTTCTGGTGCTACTAGTACTAGCCCTCTGCTCTTCCCCAGTAGCATATTGGACAACTTCCGACCTGAGGGGCTCATCTTCCGGCGTCATATCTTTTTGCCTTTTGGTACTGTCCATGGGGTTTTCATGGCAAAGATACTGGAGTGGGTTGCCATTTCCTTCTCCAGTGGATCACGTTTTGTCAGCACTCTCTGCTATGACCTGTCCGTCTTGCGTGACCCTGCACGGCATGGCTCATAGCTTCATTGAGCTACGCAAGCCCCTTTGCCACGACAAGGCAGTGATCCATGAGCCTGTCCATTTGACAAAGTCAAAAGGGCTTTTTCCTGTGTTACTTTCGAAGTGTAGAATATACTCTGTCAAGAACGATAATTAGCCCCCACTCTCTTGACTTTCAGAAAGATATGAAGACACTTAAATAAAACAGCCTATATAATAAGCAAATATTTTACCATGCTACTATGATCAAGATTTGGTCCTGCTGCCACCTGTGACCTTAAAGGGAGACAGCAGTAACAAGGAGGACATTTTAAGAGAGAGTTTCCCAGTTATGGACTTGCTTCTTACCAAGACCTGCTTTGTGCCAATTCTGCTGTCCTCTAAGCATCAATTCTCTTTGACAAAATATTTTGTCAACTCTAAATAGCTCATTGGAGTGTTTTGCCAGCTGCTTAACATGTCTTGCTGTTTTAATGTCTGGTAACTACTGTAGTTGTTTAAATATGATTTTAAATTTGGCTTTAAGATTTTGATAGTATCCCCCCTCCTTTTGGGGTGTTTTATTACTATCTGTATTTTATGTTCCATTTTATTCCATTTTATGTGCTGCTGTAAACTGCCCAGGAAGCTTCAGATATTAGGGAATATAAACATGATGATGATGTTCTCTTTATGGCGTTGTTATTGTTTTAAATTGTTATGCATGCCTTGATGGCTTTTAGCAATAACAAAGGTAATTAATGATAATAACTACTACTACTATTACAACCTGTTTTGGGAAGTAGGAAGCCTTTTTGGATAAATGATCAGTTAAAAGATGTAATGGAAACATAGAAATATAGAAACAGAAGGGGTCTTCTGGGCCATCTAGTCTGACCCTCAGCTCCAGTCAGCTCTGTTCATGACATGCCTACTATGTGCATGTCCATGAAAATAAATATCATCAATCTTCCCTTGCGTAGGAAAATGACCGCAGATTGCTTCCTTTCACTTGTGCATGAACATTGCAACAGCAAGTGATCAATGTGCCACCTGACAACTGCTGGAAAGCTAAATATGTGCTCCCCAAACCAATGGACTGAAGTGATGCATCTTTGGTAGCTAGAGGGTTATGTACACAGGAACAAGTCATCAAACTATATTTCTTGTTGAAAGACCATTGAAAAAAATTTATCCAGATGTTACCTTGCCTGACTCTATCACACATTCCAAGTGGGTGATGATGCTGTGTTTTCAGGTATGAAGTGATTTCAATGATATGCCCACCTGTGGCCATTAAGGCCAGCATCCCTTTACAAGCCCTCCACCCCTTTTCTGCCCATCTGCCTGGAACTGGAGGCTGCCACTGCTGTAGTCTTAGCACCCCGTGGCTGCCTCAGATTCCCGTGCACTGCTGGCAGAGCCCCCATGCGTCCACTCATGTGTGTACCTGCCTCCATCATGCCTCACCCAGGCCAGCTGTGGTAGAGCTGGCCATGCTGGCAGCAGACCATGCAACGGAAAAGGAGCAGGTGCAGCACAGGGCTAGTTAGGAGGAACGGGTGGGCTCCACAAGCCACGATGTGTCCACCCACAGCCATTTGGACCAGCATGCCTTGTCCTTGGGCAGCCCTCTAAGGGCAATGCTCATTAGTATCCATGGGTGAACTGTGGGGTAGGTCCCTGTTTTGCCTTGCCTCACCTTACTTCTGGGTTTGTGTCTGTATGTGTAGGGGGGGTGGAGTGTTTTGAAACTTGTTGGAGAAATGTGAAGGTTATCGTTGGCATAGTGGCCTATCGTTGGTGTTGGATTTTGTTGAAGCTATGCGAAGGTTGGTATGGTGGATAAAGTGGGCGGTTGGATTGAGGGCGAAGGTAGACTTTACTGGCAGTAATTAGATTGGTTTGGTGAATCCTTCTTGTTGTTGTTCCTGTGTGGTTGTGAGTGTGTCTATATGTGTGTTTCAGTGTCCCAGTGATTAGTTTATGCCATTAGATACTAGGTTATGGAAGACTGCAGGGGTGCCCCAGTTCCAGTAATCATGGGCAGGGGAGATACAGTGATGGAGGATTGATTGGGAATCAAAGGAAAAGAGGGAACAGATGTTTGGTTGCTGTCCCCCATCCTGTTCTTTCCTCCAACCTGAGAATATGTGGTAATCATGTCAGTCTGCCCTCTGGCCTGGTGATGCTGTTGTTGAATGTCAGGTTGGTACATTACAAGATCTGTCTCATCCATGTTGTTCCTGCGGATGAAAGTGCTGACCTGGCATGCATTACTGAGGTGAGGAGGACAGGATTGTCCTCTCCCAGCTTTGTCCCTCTGGGTACTTGGTCCAGTGCCAATATCACCTTAAGGGGATGAGGAGGAGGAGTGGCTATAATTCATAGGAGTTCCATCTCCCTCATTAGGCTTCCTGTCCATTCAAGTCTAGATCTTGAGTGCTTATACTTTGCATTGGGCAACCTAGACAGAGTTGGGATTCTGCTGATGTTACCCCCCGTCCCCCTGCTGTTCAGCAGTCTCTCTCCTTGAGCTGACAGAGGTTGTCTCTGGCCTTGTGTTGTGGACCTGGGAGATCTCAACTTCTGTGTTGAGGCAATCCAGTCTGGGGCAGCTCAGGACTTCACAGTGGCCATGACAGCCATGGGGCTGTCTCAGCATGTTGCCATCCAAACACATGAAAAGGGACACAACTCTGGATCTGGTTTTCTCTACTGGGTAGGAAGATGGTGATCTGGTGGTCAGGGGGCTCTCTTTAACCCCTTTGTCATGGTCAGATCATTTCCTCTTGAGTTTTGAATTCTCAGTCCCTTTTCCCTTCTGCAGGGTTGGGGGACTTGTAAGGTTGATCCTACCCTGCAGATCAACGGATCCAGGTGGGTTCCTGAAAGCTCTGCGGGAGTATCCGGCTGACATAGTTGGCACTCCTGTTGAAGTCCAAGTTGCCCTGTGAAATATGCTGACCTGACCAGTCAACACAATTGCTCCCAAGCATCCTCTCCTTCCTTGCAAAGCTTGCCCAGCTCCTTGGTATATGATGGAGCTGGGGGCAAGGAAGCAAGCTGGAAAAGGACTAGAGCTCAAGTGACAGAAAACTTGGGATGAATCCAACTGAACCCAGTTTAGAGCTCATTATTAAGCCTATTCTGTGGGTATCAAAGCAAACAAAAATCATTTTTACACTGCCTGTATGGCATCCTTGGAATGTTGACCAACAGAGCTTTTCCGGGTGGTTTGGGGCCTTTTACATCCTACCCTCAAAATGAACCCGTTGAAGCCTCTGCAGCTGAGTGTGATGAGTTTGCATAAAAAGAACCTGTTTGAAGCAGTTTCAGGACTCCCTCTGCTGCCCAAAGGCCAGAACAATGGCCCTGGTAGTATCAGGACTGGACCCACAGCCTAGTGAAGCTAGCAGGGCCCTTACGAGTGGCACCTGAGAGCCCTGGGGGAATGGCTATATTAGCACTAACTCTTCCCTCCAGAAGCTGCCTCAACAAGGAAAGTTTCGTGACTTGAGGTAGTGCTCCCTGTTGCTAGTTGAATCCTTGTGCTCAGAGCCAGCCCTGTTGCAGTCACTCTTGTTCCTACTCCTGGGCCTTACAACTACTTCTGCACCTGTTCCTCTTTGTGTGAACTCTCTTGCTCATGACTCCTGGTCCATGCTTACCTATTTTCAGCTTGGAATTCTGATTGGACATTGGTTGTTACTTTGGGTTAAGGTCTCTGGGTCCTGGTGTTCACAAGTTTAACCTACTGCCACACCTTGGACCTGACACTAGGGAGGAGATCTGGAGGCTATAAATGCCTCCTTGCATGAGGGAGTGGTGCCTGCCACATTGAAAACGGCCATGGTTACACTGCTCCTAACAGCAACAGCAACAAAGTCTTGACCCAGGTGACATGAATAATTATAGATGAATAGCCAATGTTCCCTACCCGGACGAGATGATTGAGTAAGGGGTGACCAGCAAATTTCAAGCTCTCTTGGAGGAAACAGATTATTTTGATCCATTTCAATTGGGTTTCAGGCCTGGTTTTGGGACTGAGACTGCCTTGGTCGCCCTGTGGGATGACCTTACCTGGGAGAGAGATGGGGGGAGTGCAACCATCTTGATTCTCCTGAACCTCTCAGCAGCTTTCAATGCTATCAACCAGGGCATCTTCTGAAGCAGCCAGCCAGGTTGGGAGTCAGAGGAAACACATTACACTTGCTTAGCTCCTACCTGGTGGATCATCTCCATGCTTTTGGAATGGGCAAAGTATGCAATTCTGTGCATATTTATGCATTTCCCCCTACTGAATAAGGTTCAAACAACTGTATTTTTGAAAATGTGAATTTCAAAGTGTCAAAACAAAACATGCATTACTCAAACACAATTACAAATTCAAGAAGTTATAAACATTTCTCAAGAAAAATACTCTAGCATGCATTCTGGATTGAGAATGGCACATATTCTCCTGATTTATGAACAGAAGTGCACTTTTTCTATATTTCTAATAGTAACTGGCATCTCAAAACCTGCAGCACTGAGATTTCCCAAAAGGGTACTCTCAGTTGCATTTGCTACAAGTACAATTATGTGGAATATTCATGAGGAGAGATATCTAGTCCTTGTTAGCATAAAGGAATGGCACTATTTCACATGGGTGGTCCCATGATCTTTCTTTTTCATTCTGCTTCCAACAGTAGCCCTTTCCCTTCATAAAACTGAAGTCAAGACACCAACTTAAAAGGGTTTTAGTCCCATGTTTACACTGGATGGAACTTGAGCACTGCAGAGAGT